CAGAGAGGGAGAGCGACTGTGTGCTGAAGACCTGGGGGGCACGAGGGAAGGATTGCATGGAGGGGATTGTAACCATGGCAATGAGACGATATATGATAGAATGAATGTAAGACTGATGTTCTCCCATGTAAACTATCACATAATTCACAATAAAACATTATAAAAGAAACTAGAACGTAAAGATTTGGAAAATTCTACTGTACAAATTAAGGGATGGTGGCCTGGCATTTTTCACTAAGGGTGTGGCTACACTATATCTTTGATAAAGGAGATCAGGCCTGTGAATGATACATCTATTCAACCACCATCAGATATATTCTGTCAACTTAAACCAAAAAGGACAAAGGCAGCCAAATGAAAAGTAGTTTGATTCCTAGATAGCTACGGAAGGAAATGGACTAGAGGAACTACTTGATTGCAAACTTCTGGTTTTGTCCAAGAACTGGGAAGAGTTGAGAGATCAACAGAACTCTTGGAAGGAGCATGTAGTTGAGGATCACGGGGGAGGCAGGTTGCCTTAGTTTCAAATAGTGTAACCATCACCTCTTAGGTTTCAAGAACTTTGGTTGCCACCACCTTGACTTCAGAGGGTGAGGCTGTCTTTCATGTGGGACAAGAAAATGGGTCACCACTGAAAATAAAGGGAGTGAAGTTGTCATGTCTATTGGCCAAGAGAATGGGGACACCCTAGCTAAGGAGCTGGAGTCACACTCATAGGGACCACTCAAAGCCAAGGGAGAAAGGTTTCCCAGAAGGCCTAGAAAAAGAGGCTGATGGTTAGGGCCAAGATGTCATTGCTCAGATAGTCCTGGAGAAAAGGATTCTTTTCAGTCCTTAAAAGCTAATGCATTTGACTCTGCAGGGTTGTGGGCTTTATCCCTTCTTTCCCCTACAGATTCTCCCATTTGGAATAGGAATAGCTACCTTGTGCATATTCACCAATGTACTTTGGAGAGATCTTTCATATTCTGTTTGAAAGGTCTAAAGAAGAGGGATTTAGTCCCAGGATGGAATACACACAGTCTTACACAAAAGAGGGGGCTTTGAAATGTTCATGGAATGAAAAGATGAAATTTTTTCATGAATCTTTGAAGTCCTCTCGTACTTCAGATGATTCAGAAAATGAGATCTTCAGATTTAGAGTTGATGCTCAAATGGTATTAAGACTTTGGGGATGATGTGATAGGATGAACATGTCTTTGCATATGGGGACATAAATTGGGGGGGTGGCAGGCAAATGGTAGCATGTTATGAATTGTGTTCCCTACAAACAATTATGTGTTAGAAATCTTACCTTATACTTATGGATGTAATCCTGTCTGGAAATAAGGTTATGTTTATATTAATGAGGTCACACCAGTGTAGGGTGTGTCCTAAACCTAATCACATCTGAGTTAAAAGAGCAGATCACTCACAAACTGAGATGTAAAAAGGAAATGTTATTGTTAAGTGCCCTTAAGTTGGTTCTGATTCATAGGGACCCTAGGTAGGGTTTCTGAAGAACACCTGGTGGGTTACAACGGCCAACTTGTGGTTCACAGTCCAGTGCTGATCCTACATTGATAAATTTGCCCTGTGAAGATGATCAAGGAACCAAGGACTAGGCTGCAGGGCTACAGAAGCTAAAGGAGACTGAGATCTTCTCCCAGCGCCTTCCCCTAGAGCTGCTGCTCCAAAGTCAGACTTGCGGCCTCCTCAATGGTGAGAAAATCCATTTCTATTCTTTAAAGTCATGTATTTGTAGCATTTCTGTGGCAGTGGCACTAAAAAACTAGGGTAGACATTTTATATGTTGCCTGTCATCTTTAAAATACTGCCAGCTAAGGTTTTATTTAGTTCCATTTTACAGAGCCGTAAAATCAAGGCTCAAAGATATTCTTTAAACTCCCTAGGTCACATATCTATTAAGCAGCTTATAGGTAGCTTCTGCTTCCCAAACCTAAGGTCTGTACTTTGCATACTACCGGCTACATTGAACCATGTTTACAAACATGGGCTTTCAAGTTAGAGGGGTCTTTGAGGCTCACTAGTTATTTGACCTTGGGCAAGTTTTTAACTTCTCTACAAAACTTCAGTTTTCTCATCTGTAAAATGTGGATAATATTAATATGCACTTCAAAGTTCAGGAGCAAATAAGACAATGCGTTTAAGGTATCAGCTGAGTGCCCAATACATAAGAGCTAGTATTTAATATTTCAGTGCTTTTCCCAATGATAAAGGAGGAGCAATATAAACACATATATTCAAGAATTCTTTCCTTTTTAACAGAATGAGACTACCACCACACCTTTAAGGGGAAACTTTATTTAAATCTTAACACATATAATTTAACAAATTCAAAAAGAATACTAGTCAAATGTTTACACAGACAAGACAAAGCTTCCAAACCGAAACAAAAATTCTACAGGAGTTAACTCCAAACAAAACCCTCCTTCTAATTAGCATCACATACTTATCATAACCACTAAATTCAAAAGATAACAAAATAGATTTTTTTCAAAATGTAAGTAAACATGTTAGCAAATGTTTAACAAAATACATCTCCCAGGAGGATCAGAAATGTAAAACACTTCAAGGTCGATGCCAGGCCCTGGATCTGTAGACACAGCCATATCCATCCACATAGTGGGCCTTAGACCTATTTTGTTTTAGGCATATATCAATGTTTTCAAAAACGACAACTTCTTGTGGTTACTTCCTCATGCTTTTCTCAAATACAGTTGGCCTGAGAAAGCTGCTGCTTGTTTAAGAGCAGCTTGTCTGACGGGTCACATCTATGGCTCCACAGCTAAGGAACATCATCTCCAGAACCCGTTTCTACAAGAAGACAAAAGCCTTAAGTTGAGAAAAGAAAACAAATGCACCAGAAAATTATTCACATGGACAAACCACAACACATTTAATAATGTCTTCTAGAAACAGTCCTGGTATGGTACTGTGGGGTAAAGCACTGGGCCGCAAGGTCAGTTCGATCCACAAGGTTGGTGGGTGGTTCAAACTCACCAGCTACTCCTTGGAAACCCCTTGTAGGGTTGCTGAGTTGGAACTGCGATGGCACTTAACAACAGAAAAAGTAGGGGTGTGTGTCAGCTGAATATTCTAATTACTATGTCAAGTATAGTGGTTATGAGTTGGGCTGCTAACCATAAGGTCAGCAATTCAAAACTACCAGCTGCTCCATGAGAGAGAGATGAGACTTTCTGCTCCCTTAAAGATTTACAGCCTCGGAAACCCTATACAGGGCCTCTATGAGTCGGCATATCACTACCACCATGGTGAAATCAATCATCAACACTCATGGAAGCAGCAGTCAAGAAATCAAACGACGTATTGCATTAGGCAAATCTGTTGCACAAGGCCTTTTTTAAAGTGTTGAAGAGCAAAGATGTCAGTTTGAGGACTAAGGTGTACCTGACCCAACCCATGGCATTTTCAATAACCTCATGTGAATGTGAAAGCTGGGCAGTGAATGAGGAAGACCGTAGAAGAATTGATTCATTCTAGTTATGATGTTGGAGGAGAATATTGAAAGTACTGTGGGCTGCCAAAAGTACCAACTGATCTGTGTTGGAAGAAGTGCAGCCAGAGTGCTCCTTGCAGGCCAGGATGGCCAAACTTTGTCTCTCATACTTCGGACATTGTCAGGAGGGACCAGGAGGGATATAATGTTCGGTAAGGTGGAGGGTCAGAGAAAAAGAGGAAGACCCTCAGTGAGATAGATTGGCAAAGTGGTAGCAGCAATGGACTCAAGTGTGGCAACAACTGTGAGGATGGCCCAGGATCTGGCAGGGTTTAGTTCTGTTGTGCATAGGGTCACTATGAGTCAGTACCAACCTGATGGCACCTATCAACAATGATAATGGTGAAGTGATTTTTTTTTCCCTTTTAAGTATGTATTTTGATTTTCATATGGTAACTTATCAAAAAAAATATTTCCCTGAAATATTATGAAATTGTCATGCTTTCTGTTTTATTAGGGCGATGTTAACAAGGTTCATAACCAACTGGTTCTTTGTCCACCTTGGTTAGTGTATAACCTATTGCTAAAGCCATGAGGAGATAATTTCATTCTCACTGTGCTCACTTCTAAGAACCAATGTGTTATTTATGAGAAATCGCATGCAATAGCCAGAAGCTATTCAACAAATTTAATCTTGTCACATATATAAACTAAACACTCAGAAACAAATTCAAGAAGATTATTTAACATAACAGATCATTTGAACAAGTGACTTAACTGACACTGAGAAATTTCTGTGAAATCCTTTACAATGGGCATTTATCCAACTTATGATTTCATTTTCAAGATTAATTCAGTCAATGACATTTCAAAAAATTATATTTTGGTTATCACCATAAACACATTGAATATGTTTCATTAAAGCGTCCTTTTTTTTTTTTTTTTAATATTATTACCTTCCAAGAAAAATAATTAATCATTTGAGAGGTTCAAGGTAATGTTATCTTTAAGACTTAGAGATTCAGAGTGATAAAAGTATTTCGCTGCTCACTTCCATCAAGTTAATGCTGATCATAGCAAGTCTGGAGGACAGAGGAGAGAGGGCTGCTCCTGCAGTTTCCGAGACTGTACATTTCTTTTTACAAGGGCAGTCATCCTCATGTTTCTCCCATGAGTGGCTGGTGGGTTTGAACCACCAACCTTGTGATTAACAGCCCACAGCACCAGGGCTCTTTTTCAAGTTACCTTTACTTTCAGTATCATCCAACGACATGAAGCAAAGATCTTTGCCCACTGTTTGGAGCACAGCCTAACAAAAGAAACTCTGGATTAGTCCCAATTCTTTATTACAAATACAAAACAACTAAAATTAGAAAGGGGGCCAAAGACAACCCAGAAAAAAAAGTAAAGTGACAGAAAGCACTCCGAGTAAAATTATGACGATTTTATAGTTTTAAGAATCACCTCACAAGTACATTTACTGTTACTCAATTCTCCTTCTCAGGAACATACTCCTCCCAGCGAGGAAAGAATCCTTTGTCCATTTTTTAATTCTGAAGCGCTTCACAAGGGGCAGCAATGGAACCAGTCTCAGTGGTAAGCCACAGATGCTATATTAAAGATTTCATATGACCACCAGCTGCTCTCCTGTGTGTCAGGGTACAAGTGTGCACCATAGGGTTTCTAGTGGTGGACTTTTTTAGGAAGCCAAGAGCCAGACCGACATGTCTTCCAAGGCAGACTGGAACTACCAATCTTTTGGTTCGCAGCTGAGCACATCAACCATTTGCACCACCCAGGGGCTCTGAAGACTTAATGAGGAGGTGGAATTCTCAAACGTTCCTTTTAATAACAGTAGTCTCATTTTCATGAATAATGCAGTACAGAAATTTACAGGATAGATTTTGATAAAATTAAAATCTCAGATGAAAAAAAAATCTAAGAAAATTGTCATCAGATAATGGTGAATTGATGTATCATTTAAAAAGAAAAAAAAAAAATTGCTTGAAATTTGAGGAAAGAATCACCTAAATCCCATTACAGGGTTGCGAAGACTGCACTTAACAGCAATGACAACAATCAAGTAAAAACATTTAAAGTCTTACTCATAAGTAGTTTCTATAGGATTATTAGATTTAAAGTCAAAGTTGTTGGATCTGTATTATTTTTGTACATTTTAAACAGTCCTACAAGGTTCTCTTCTACTTGGCAACATAGTTCATCCAAATAGGATCCTAAGTAAGTATGTGAGCTTGTCAAGTGGGTACAGCCAGAATGTAATAAATTATGAAATATTAATGTCATGCAAGTTTATGCAGCTTTCAAAAGTTGTTTATAGTCTTCTGGTACTGGTCAAGATGACGCAGTTGATGAGGCCTCTCTCTTCCAGGGATTAAAACTATGTATCTGGACAGAATACAAAAAGAAACTGCCCGAAGACTCTGAAAGGTAAACAGGGACAGGATGAAGACTGAAGTAAAAACTTGAATAATGTAAAAGGTGTGAGATTCACCACGGTTTTTCATTTTTTCCTCCTTTAGTCTCCTGATTGTGATCAAAGGATAGGTCGAGTTATGGAACCGTATTGCTGCCAGCAAAACACTCAAGAAACCCTCTATTGCTAACTAGAGGATCAAGAAAAGCCTCTGGGATCCCCATACATGCTAGACAGTGGGGGTGGGAATTCCCCCAGTGTATTTATTTTTTTATCTTCTAGCCCTACCCTGTGGACAGCCATGGGCAGAGCCTGGGGGGCAGCTGTGGTAGGACAAATCCCCAAACCCCAAACCCACTGTCATTGGGTTAGATTCTGACTCACAGTGACCATGCTAGGCAGAGGAGAACGGGCATGCACCAGAGTTTCCACAACTCTGAGCTTTATGGTAGCCAATGGCCACATCTTTCTTTCATGGAGTGTTCAACTGCTGACCTTTTGGTTAGCACTGAGCACTGGCTTTCTGTGTTCTCTGCTTCACTGCAAACGCAGGTTCAAGAATACACAGTGGGATACCAGGAGAGAAATATGCTTCCTGGCCAGAGGAACCCGAAAAGGGGACTCTTGGGACTGAAAGAAAACCTTAGGAGCCAGAACATGTGGAGGAAATCTCAAAGAGAAGAGAGTTGGAAATTTTCAACCCCTAGTACGGTATGGTTCGGACCCGACTCGATGGCACTTAACAACAACAACAACAAGTATGGTATGGCACTGTGGGTTAATGTGCCAGACTGCAAAGTCATTTGAATTGTAAGGTCGGTGGTTCATGCTCACCAACTGCTCCTTGGAAACACTATAAGGGGTAGGAATTGACTCTACCACACTTAACAACAACACATTAAAGGTTGGCAGTTCAAACTCACCAGTCACTTCTGAGAAACCCTATATAGGGTTTTCTATGAGTTGGAAACAAATGGATGGCACTTAACAACACCAATAGCAATACTTTAAATTAAATGGGAGTCCTGGTGTGATGCTGTGGGTTAATGCGCTGGACTGCAAAGTTGGTCTAAACTTTAAGGTGGGCGGTTCAAGTTCACCAGCTGCTCCTCAGAAACCCTATACAGGGTTGCTATATGTTGGAACTGACTCGATGGCACTTAACAACAGTAACACTATTTTAAACAGGAGTCCTGGTGTGGCACTGCAGAATAGTGCACTGGACTGGTAAGGTCAGCTTGAGCTGCAAGGTTGGCGGTTCAAACCTACCAGCCACTCCTCAGAAACCCTATACATGGTCACTATGGGTCAGAACCAACTCGACAGCACTTAACAACAACAACAAAAGCTTTATGTGGAGTCCTGGTGTGGTGCTTTAGGATAAGCACTGGACTGTTAATTGCAAGGTCAGCAGTTCAAACCAACCAGCCACTCCTTGGAAACCCCATATAGGGTCTCTATGAGTTGGAATTCCCTCAAAGGCATCTAACAACAATAATACTTTATATGAGAATGCACTTAAATGTGAACCCCAAGGTCGGGGGTTTGAGCCCAACAGCTGTTCTGCAGGAACAAATTGAGGCTTTCTGCTCTCACGAAGATTTACAGCTCAGGGAACCCTCTACTGGGCTACTAAGAGTCAGAATCAGCTCGATGGCACTTTAACAACGGCAATACTTTTTATGAAGCCCTGTTAGCACACACTTGAAGCTCTCGGCTGTGCCTCTAAAGACCAGTGGTTCTAGCTCACCAGCCATTCCATGGGAGACAGATGTGACGGTCGGTTTCCGTACAGATTTACAGCCTTGAAGATCCTATGGGCAGTTTAACTGTTTTACAGGATTGCTATGAATTGGAATCCACTTAACAGCACTGGAGAGCTACGACACCTACGATATAAATCGCGGACCAAGTTCCAGAATAACCTGAGTAGCTCTTTAGCTACTGGGAAGACACAGACAACATAGCTAAGGTTTTGAAACGTGAAATGAAATTAGAAACACCAATCACATTAAAGAGATAGAATTGCAGTATGAATCTAACTGGGTGGATTGACTGATAGAACAAAAATCTCAGTATGTCCAGAGAATTTTAATAGGACCCAAAGTCTTACAACAAAATATGTGAAATGGCCAGGATAAATTCCACACTTGCATGATAAAAATAAAAATAATAAAACCCACAAGAAAAGCTAACCATTTCTCGATAGAAAAAGCTAACCATTTCTCAAGAGAAAAAGCTAACCATTTTCCAAGAGAAAGGATAATCAAGAGATGGCAAGCGCCGATAGGATCACATGTTGAAACTATCAGACAAACTATAAAAGGAAGTTCAGCAAATTTCAAACATAGTAAGCTCAAATGATAAGATACATTACATAGTTTTAAATTAAGAACACAGAATGCAACATGTATGTTGAATAAAATCAACTATACCCAAAAATGTAAGGAGCTCTGGTAGCGTAGTGGTTACGAATCGGGCTG